AAATTTGAAAAGTATTTATCGATTTTGCCTTTTAATTTATTATATACTTTGTGTAAATTTAGATGCGGAAATCATCGTTTGCCAGTGGAGACGGGAAGGTGGCAAACTATTCCGAGATCGGAAAGGTCTTGTCACCTCTGCAGCTCTACAGATATTGGCGATGAATTTCATTACATAATGTCATGCAATTTTTTCAATAAAAAAGAGAAAAATATTTACCACATTATTGTAACAAAAATGCTAACATTATTAAATTTAATCATATATTCTCATCTGAAAATGTTGTTGAACTAAAAAATTGTGTAGATTTATACGATACATATCAGTGAAAATCTGTCCTCCTGGTTAGAGGAACTGTAATATTATTATGTTGTTATTTATTTTCACACATGCGAAACAAAATATGTATTATATATGGACTGTTATTTTCTCTGTTGCTATGTACTAGTTTATGAGAATAAAATCATTCATTCATTCATTCTTAAGCCAACTGACTGAGTTGTATGTACAATCGAATTAAAAAATTATGGAGTGACTAGAGGTTTTTCAACGCCTAAATGTTAAACGAAGATATTTCTCAGCTTGGTTTAACCTCGTTTTTTTATGCGTTTGTGTTCTTTTTAAAACCGGCGCAATCAAAATTCAAATGCCGCAGTCTGTTTAAGTGGTTTATTCACGTTTCTTCAACATTTGCTAATTAGATCAAAACAACATTAAGGATTAGGGGGTCATGTTAATAGACAATAGACAATAGACAATACTTTATTATTAAACCTCAGACACATAGGTGTACAAGAGACAGTTAAGGACTGGCATCTTTACCTGTAATTCACCTGTATCAGTTCTTAACTAAAATATTGTAAAAGGGGTATGTTTTAAAGATATATATTAAATCAGAAACAAAACGGGTTTTTTTTTACAATAATTGGTTTTTCGTATATTTTTGGTTGAATATAATCAGAAAATGTTACGTAATTATTTTTATCCGTGTTAGAATTACAAAATTAAAAATTTATTCATCATAATGATACTAAACCCCTAACGGGAGGGATTGTACTTGATTTTCATATGAGGAAGACATAATCTTTCAATCAGTTTAATTGAGGTCTGGAGCTGGCATGTCAGTAACTGCTAGTAGTCCTTTGTTAATTTATGTATCATTGTCATTTTGCTTTGTTTCTTTTGTTACCTTTTCTGACATTGGAATCAGACCTCTTTTGAACTGAGTTTTACTGTGTGTATCGCTGTGTGTTTCTTTATTCTACATTGGCTAGAGGTATAGGGGGAGGGTTAAGATCTAACAAAACATGTTTAACCCCGCCGCATTTTTGCGCCTGTCCCAAGTCAGGAGCCTCTGGCCTTTGTTAGTCTTGTATGTTTTTTTTAAATTTTAGTTCATTTATATGTTTTGGAGTTTAGTATATCGTCCATTTTCACTGAACTAGTACACATTTTTATTTAGGGGCCAGCCGAGGACCACCTCCGGGTGCGGGATTTTCTCGCTGCGTTGAAGACCCATTGGTGGCCTTCGGCTGTTATCTGCTCTTTGGCCGGGTTGTTGTCTCTTTGACATATTCCCCATTTCCATTCTAAATTTTATTAATAATTCTTAGTTACCTTGAATTATTTAAAATGCTATTAAACTATATAATTTATACTTTGAAGATTTTGCAACATTTTAAAATTATATCCATAAAATTAAAATGTGATATTATGCATAATGCAATATTGCAAATTATACGTGTTTTTGTAATATGTTACATCGAAGACACCCATAACTAAAATAAAACATTTGTTTCTGAAAGGCAATGAACAACCGAACATGTTTCCGATGGATTTTTGTTATTATTATTATTTCAAAGTCTGCTGAAACTAAATTTGATTAAAGCATTATGATAGTGCATCTTATAGACAGATATTCTTATCTTTTATATGCTTTCTCTTGCATTTTCAGTTTGTGATCAGACATTTTTTAATATTCAAGTTGGAAAATTCTTATAATTTCATTAATATTCAGTAAATTATTCTGTCAAATCTTTTTTCCTTTTTAGATTATTATATCATTAGGGCCCCGCCGAATGGCGGACGCCCTATAGTGATCAGTCTGTCCGTACGTCTGTCCGTCCGTCCGTCCGTAACAAATTGTGTCCACTCTATATCTAGAGAACCGTTATGATTTCAAAGTTTATACTTGACATGTATATTAACCAACACCAGAGGGTGTGTCATAATGTATGTACAAATTCCTAGATCAAAGGTCAAGGTCAAAAACTTTGGTTTCAGTTGACAACCCCATGTCCTATGGTAAAGATCGTGTCCGCTCTATATCTTGAGAACCGTTATGATTTCAAAGTTTTTACTTGACATGTATATAAACCAACACCAGAAGGTGTGTCAAAATGTATGTACAAATTCCTAGGTCAAAGGTCAAGGTCAAAACTTTGGTTTCAGTTGACAACCCCATGTCCTATGGTAAAGATCGTGTCCGCTCTATATCTTGAGAACCGTTATGATTTCAAAGTTTTTACTTGACATGTATATAAACCAACACCAGAAGGTGTGTCAAAATGTATGTACAAATTCCTAGGTCAAAGGTCAAGGTCAAAACTTTGGTTTCAGTTGACAACCCCATGTCCTATGGTAAAGATCGTGTCCGCTCTATATCTTGAGAACCGTTATGATTTCAAAGATTATACTTGACATGTATATAAACCAACACCAGAGGGTATAACTTCCTAGGTCAAAAACTTTGGTTTCAGTTGACAACCCCATGTTGTCCTATGGTAAAGATACAAATTTTTTAACGCACATTATTCACAGCGGGGCCCACAGAGATGGCTCCCATCTCAATGATATCTAGTTACAATAAAAATGCTACAGAGTAAGATGTCAATTGTTTTTAAATTAAGGCAAGTTGAATGGTATTCATTTAGAAATAATTCTTGATTCACGAAGTATGTGGAATTGCTATCAGAGGGATCTACAATTATAAAACGAAAATATTCCAAATAAAATGGATAATCCCGTCAAGAAAACCAACGAATGACCCTTTCAATAAATTTATGTGTTTTAATGGTTCAGTATAAAAAAGGAGTTTTAATATTTTTTTAGTTAGTGTTCGTATAATTATTATGATTATGAATTTCAATTATTATTTTATTGTGATTTTTTTTCAAACTGGTGAAAGAAAGATAATCTCAAACAGATTGAATATACAATATCAATCGGAACTCCTCTTTGTGTCTGTACCAAGCTATCTGGAACGTGTTTTGTTCGTTGCTATCTTTGTTTTTGTGTCTGTTTATGATATTTTTCGTAGGAGTCGGGTGTTGTTGTTTAGTTTGGTCTGTTGTACTGTCCAGGGTGTTTCCTTGTGTCCTTTTTGTGTATAGTTTGGTCTGTTGTACGGTCCAGGGTGATTCCCGGTGTCCTTTTTTGTGTATAGTTTGGTCTGTTGTACTGTTCAGGGTGTTTCCTGGTGTCCTTTTTGTGTATAGTTTGGTCTGTTGTACTGTCCAGGGTGATTCCTGTTGTCCTTTTTGTGTATAGTTTGGTCTGCTGTACTGTCCAGGGGGATTCCTGGTGTCCTTTTTGTGTTTAGTTTGGTCTGTTGTACTGTACAGGGTGATTCCTGGTGTCCTTTTTTTGTATAGTTTGGTCTGTTGTACTGTCAAGGGTGATTCCTGGTGTCCTTTTTGTGTATAGTTTGGTCTGTTGTACTGTCCAGGGGGATTCCTGGTGTCCTTTTTGTGTTTAGTTTGGTCTGTTGTACTGTCTAGGGTGATTCCTGGTGTCCTTTTTGTGTTTAGTTTGGTCTGTTGTACTGTCCAGGGTGATTCCTGGTGTCCTTTTTTTGTATAGTTTGGTCTGTTGTACTGTCCAGGGTCATTCCTGGTGTCCTTTTTTTGTATAGTTTGGTCTGTTGTACTGTCCAGGGGGATTCCTGGTGTCCTTTTTGTGTTTAGTTTGGTCTGTTGTACTGTCTAGGGTGATTCCTGGTGTCCTTTTTGTGTTCAGTTTGGTCTGTTGTACTGTCCAGGGTGTTTCCTGGTGTCCTTTTTGTGTATAGTTTGGTCTGTTGTACTGTCCAGGGTTATTCCTGGTGTCCTTTTTGTGTTTAGTTTGGTCTGTTGTACTGTCCAGGGTTATTCCTGGTGTCCCTTTTGTGTTTAGTTTGGTCTGCTGTACTGTCCAGGGTTATTCCTGGTGTCCTTTTTGTGTTTAGTTTGGTCTGTTGTACTGTCTAGGGTGATTCCTGGTGTCCTTTTTGTGTTCAGTTTGGTCTGTTGTACTGTCCAGGGTGTTTCCTGGTGTCCTTTTTGTGTATAGTTTGGTCTGTTGTACTGTCCAGGGTTATTCCTGGTGTCCTTTTTGTGTTTAGTTTGGTCTGTTGTACTGTCCAGGGTTATTCCTGGTGTCCCTTTTGTGTTTAGTTTGGTCTGCTGTACTGTCCAGGGGGATTCCTGGTGTCCTTTTTGTGTATACTCAATTCTTTTATAGTCTCTTTTGAATTTATTTATTTCTTTTATTGACCCGGGATGATTGAAAGCTTAAAATATTGTATAGACACCTGTCGATTATTGAAGATCGAAACTACAAAAATGTATATTGACCTCTAATTGACTGGGCGTATTCTAAGGTTGTTGTCTTATTGGCGTATACCACAACATCTCATTTTATTCGTACTCGACTGCATTTATCATAATCTAGTAACACATCTTTTTAATATTCTATCATGGGAATATGTTCATTTTAAAAAGCCGAAAAACTCGATCTGAAAAGAACTTGCTAAGTTGATTCTCAAATGAATAGCCATTACAAGACATGTATGTATTAAGATAACACATAGAAAAAGTTTCCTATTTTATCATAATTTTTAACATGAAAATTGAAGTGACCTTTCGCAAGGTATTGTCCCTCGTGTAATATATATTGCAATCGCAAGCTCGTGCAATATAAAAATCTACTCTAATTTCCCCGAAAAAAAGACAAAATATACAGAGACTACATGTTCCTTTAATCTCGTGAATATGATTTTACGTACTAATAGAGAATTTCCACAACAAATAAAAACACACCAACAAACATCGAACAGGGAACAGACTCAGGATAACTTTAATTCATTGCTTTATAATTCCTTGTGCAAAATAACATGATAAAATCTAACTTTAAAAATGATATGATTAGTCTATTATACATGTACCATTCAAACTTCTCTACCTTTTTCGGTTAAAACAAATGCGTTTCTCATTTAACATGTCAAAAACTAACCCAAATTATGTCCCTCACCGTGATCGGCTCTCCCACTCGCGAGGATATGTAGCCACCGTAGAGCCGCGGAATATTACAACTGAATTTTTATTCAATAATCGATCCAAATTTCGGCGGCAGACATTTAACTCACCAGCCAACGATTTAATGAGAAAAAAATATATTGAATAACACAGACCAGGACAACATACTGTATTTTATTTGTTCGTCAAACATTTCACTTGTGTCCTTTGGTAGGCGTGTTGTATTTTTCTGTGAACTTCTCTTCGAAATTTTTTTTTTTTTTTATTTTACATTAATATACTTAATGTGACATGATTGGGGAATTTCATATACACTAATCTTTTTTATTAGAAAATTTACGATTCGTAAATGACGTTTTGTTGGAGGGGGAATGGGCCCCAAGCAAGAGACTGGATAGGACAAATGTATTTTTTCCACAAAAGACAGCTTTGTAACATTTATTCTTCCTCGGATCTAGGATCTGTATTGGCGTTATTTATTTTTATTTTTAAGTCGTTTGGCTTTCGTTGGATACGAAGTTCACACTGTGGTAAAATCACGAAATGTGGAAAATGTATTACGCTCTATGATGCCCGTGATTTTAGATGGAACGATTTATATATAAGATATTTATTGTGACAGATATTTGACATACATTGTGGACATATGGGACGATACAATTATTGCTTAATAAATCCATCCGTCTATGAATTCGTTACAACCTAATTCAACCCAAACAAATATGGTAACTGTCCGAAATAGGATGAAAATATTGTATATTAAGTTAATGTCCTAAATATAACAAAGGTCTCTTTGACAATCGTGATACTTGATAATTGTCCGGAGACACCTTACTGAAGAACATAAAAGTTAAGTAATAATTGTATCACCAATATGTCCAAAATGTATGTCAGATATCTGTCACAATAGATTTTTTTGCATTGCAATCTAATCATTTTCTTGTCTAATATATTATGTTTAGGGTAAAATATGGATATTGATTATTTACAAAATAATGTTAATTATTAAAAGTTATAAATCCATCGCACAATCAATATTAATACCTTTTTTCAAATATTTATCCCAACAATTTCTATTTTACGAAGCTACATAAATATAAGATTCTGCCTGATACGTTTTGTTTAAATATAAAATTTATATCTGTGAGTGGATCCCAGCCTCCTTCTACAGCGGCAGCGATGCCATATAACATCTAAGGCATTGTTAACAGTTTCCTCATACTGTGACACCTCTCATAAATGTCGTTTTTCTGTCGAGAGTCTGCCGAGAAACAATGGAACAACCAACTTCACAGAAAACCATTCAATTTAAAAATCTACATCTTATTTATCATTACAATATATTTACCATCTTCCATTCAAATTTAGTTTGACTTTGAAGGGTTGACATGGTTTTAAAAGAGATTGGTTGACGGTCAATAGGAACCTATATGAACTAAATGAAACATAACAGTCTGACAATTTAATAACAGTGTTTATATCATTATTGTATAGCAAGACGTGAATACTGTGGCAAGCTAAATCCGTCAATTATTACTACACGCTTAACATACACTTATGATAATTAATATAGTTATAAGCATGCTTTGTTATAATCGCGTAGTGTTTGAAATGAATGCATAAGATGGAACAACTTTCTTATTTGCTGTCAAAGACAGATAAAACATGCAGAAGTAACTGCAATTCCTGCTGAGATTATTACAAAACAGAAGCCGAAGTATATGTTGTCTATCCAGTCCAGTGGCGCCATTGTTCCATATATGATTACCCCTATTAAAACAAAAGTAGCTGAAAAAGAGGAGTAAAATATATTAAAAAACATTTTATGACCAGACAAATACGAAATGAGTAAATACATTTATGGTACGCTAAGTAGACATAAGGAAATGTAGTATGTTTGCCAATAAGATAGCTATCCGTCAGAGACCAGGGTACACGAATGTTGACTACATGTCACCGTACGGCCTTCGATAATGTGCAAAACCCATACTATATAAAAAGCTATAAAAGGCCCAGACAGGATAAAATGTAACAATTCCATAGACTATGATTCATAACATTATTAATACCGGTACATGAACAAGTCTGATCTAAATTGGGCGCAATTAGTGTATTAACTAGGTATACCTATAACCTGTCGGTAAACGTTATTACCAAACCATGAAAAAATGATGTCATTGAGAAATATACAGCTTAAATCAACTAACCACAGTTCCAGTAAGTATATATCTAGCATATTTACCTTTTGTATTACAGTAGAAGGTTGCAGCAATTTTTCAAAGGGTCGTTTTAGATATTAAACTTCTGTACTTTGATAAATTTGTATAGAAGAGGAATGCAGAGAGCCGAAAAGTCATAACTGTCAATCGAACTGAAAGGACCATTAAAAGCACGTAATGTATCTTAAACATCGAAAGAGTTATTTACACTATAAAATAATTCATTCCATTTTTTTCATATGCATTTTTGCAAAAGTTAATAATATTAAGTTCTTCAGTTGTAGTAAAGGAACTATTTGTCATGCCGTTGTAGTTTGTAGCAGTCCTTGCAGCTCAGTTGAATAGATTAAAAAAATGTTAAATACATGTAGTACTCCATATATTATATAAAATACATTTAAAATTGTTATGATTTTGCAGGGATCCTTACAGTTTATACCACCATAGTTTCTAAAAACAAAAATCTCAACAATAATTTGAACGTAATCAATTTTGACATCTGGACATGAAACAAAATAATAGCAGAATTCGAACAACGTTGTTCCACGTGTACATTTAACATAACTGTATGGTTGTATTTAATGCCGGCGTCACACATTGCCGTATACACCGACGTGCACATGGCGTTCATAGAAAATTGACTAAGTCCGTATACGTTAGATGCACGTATGAGGAATGCTAAGCAGTCGTTAGACGCGCGTTGCATAAGTTTGAAGCACGTCAAAATGCAAAGGTATACGCTTGGTGAACGCTTTAACTCCAGGAAATTTTTATGCAGCATAAAAATTTTCCTTTAGCTCTAGCGTTTTTCAAGTGTATACCTGGTCGCTACAAGCGCGTAATACATACGTTACAAGCGCGTTGGAAAACGTTACAGATAAGTTTAAGACACGTTTAGGGCACGTTGTATACGTCTCAAGATCTTTCGACTTTTACTTGGACTTTTACTTGGACGTATGCGGGGCGTGTTTGCAACATACGCCTGGCGTAGTTTCAGCGCTCCGTGAACGTATAAAACGCACCCGTGGCGTATCAAAAACGTATTCTGACATTCAGCGAAACTTGCTCTGACATTTATATAGTGGCAAGACCATGTGTATCCAGAAGAAGTACTAACAATAAAATTGAGAATAAAAAAGGGGAATATGGCAAAGAGACAACAACCCGATAAAAGAGCAGATAACAGCCGATGGCTACCTATGGGTCTTCAATGCCGCGAGAAAATCCCGCACTCGGAGGTGGGTCTCAGCTGGCACCTAAATAAAAATGAGTACTAGTTCAGTGAAACACCAAATAAATACATGTCCCAGACACGCCGAAAGCACGGATAATCGTCCCAGGTACGACCGGGATGCGTCTCAAATACGTTCAAGGGACGTTTTTCCTTCGTAGTGAGCATTTATACGTTAGACAGACGCCAGACATACGCCAACATACGTTACTTGATCGTCCGATAAACGCGTATGTACGCTTCTCGTACGCCCTAAACACGCTTAAAGCTCGTTGTGCACACAATACAGATATGATTGACAAGTTGAATGCGTCCAAAAGTACTAGCGTATTGGCAGCGTACATGGATTTTTACCACGCCCGGCGTACGTCGGTGCTATACGCTGATTCGAGTGAAAAGGTGTGATTTCTTGCTTAATGTTTTGGCTTAGGAGTTTGCTTTAAATGGTTAAGGTCATCAGTTCAGTCTTTTTTTAAACAGATGTTTCATTATAAACTGACATAAAGATTTAAGATTTTATTTATCCTTAAGGGCATACGAGACAGTTTTGACCCACTGTGATTTTTTTACGAAAATTTGCATACAAGCTATTTTGCACCTAGTCAATTCAAATATATAAATGAAAATATACCTTCATGTGCTACTTTTAGAGATAAATGTGGTCGAAATTTCAGACATTTTACTCAAAATTTCGCTTTTTTGAACATTTCTATCCTTTGGATAGACATATCTAACTTTTTTGTTTCAAAAGATAAACACAAGCGGATTTTTGTAAAAACATTTGGAAAATCTTCTTTACATAAGTATGCTCTAAATTTGTATAACAATTCTTTGGAATAATTAATTTTTATCAAAGTTTCATGATTTCCGGAAAAAACGGCATTTTTTGCTGTTTATTTATCTAATTTAAAAAAATTTCATCGGTGACTTTTTCATGAAAATTGGTACAAATAATCTTCATAAGTAATCAAACCTAATGTCATTTTAAAAAAGAGGGGTCCATGAACTCGTTTTCAAGTGAAATCAGTTTGCATTACCTTCCCTGTAACTGTATCGTATGTATGGAACGCCATGACTGCCTTATGTTGATGATCAGCATTATATGCAGTGGTCACAACATTATATGCAGTGCTCACACCATTATATGCAGTTGTCACACCATTATATGCAGTGCTCACAACATTATATGCAGTGCTCACAACATTATATGCAGTGCTCACAACATTATATGAAGTGGTCACAACATTATACGTAGTGGTCCAAACATTATATGCAGGTGTCGGGACATTATATGCAGTGGTCACAACATTATATGAAGTGGTCACAACATTATACGTTTTTCGTTGATGAAGGTGATGATCAGTGATGGTGATGATGATGATTGATGTATGTGATGGTGGTGGTTCATTCGGTAAACTTCGGAATTTTTTATCGGAAATTACCGAATACAGTCATAATTGATAGTGCCCCGCAAACAAATTGAAACAGTTGTTGAAGGCAGTTCGACTGAAAACTATATCAGAAAAAAATAACGCCAGCTATTGTCTGCAATTGGACAGACATAATTTTATTAATTTATTGGAAGTTCATTCTGAGGAAAAGATGAAACTAAGGGGTGAACGAATGAACTAGTTCTATTCGTCGTAAGAAATACGCATTGCATAATGTAAGTTAAATAATGAAAATTTTAGTTAATGAAATATCGAAGGAAAATTTGTATGATATATGCCTCGAGTTTATTTCTTACTGAAGAACTGTAGCAAGGTGCCACTTTACAGTGCGGACGCCGCATTGAAATTATTAAACGTGTTGTTTTCAGTTTTTTATAGTCAGTACTCAGTTTTAAAAAGCTTAATTACATTTTAAATAAAATAGTCAGCTTTCTATAAGACCTAAGTGCCATATTACGCTAGCTTATATATGTCTTGATAGAGTCATTATTTGGCATCGATTTTCAGAATTTGGCATTTTTACATGAATAAGTATCTAACAGATATGGAAAATGCAGTTTAAAGCATTTCATTGTAGGTGTTTAACATAACTTTACATCAATTATTCCAATTTTTTTACTAGCTTTTTAGCACGTCAAGCAGTTTGTCTTCTAAATATAAGCAGCAGCCTTATATAGAGATATAAACTTTCATAAAAAAAATTTACCCTTTCAAGACCCAGTTTAACATTTTCATTTATAGTGATCATCTCTTATGAAAACTGAGTTTGTGGGGGTGAATAAAACGTTTACTACGTTTGTTCGTCAGTCTGCACGGTTAATATATGAAAAAAGTGGTATGCTTGCCAATGAAACAACTTTCCACAAGAGGCCAAATGACACAGAAATTAACAACTATAGGTCACAGTACGGCCTTCAACAATGAGCAAAGACCATACCGCATAGTCAGCTATAGAAGGCCCTGAAATGATAAACGTAAAACATTCCAAACGAGAAAACTAACGGCCTAATTTATGTACAAACAAACGAACGAAAAACAAACATGTAACACATTAACAAACGACAACCACTGAAATACAGGCTCTTGACTTGGGACAGACACATACATACAGAATGTGGCGGGTTTTAACATGTTAGCGGGATCCCAACCCTCCCTCTAACCTGGGACAGTGGTGTAACAGAACAACATAAGAACGAACTATGAAAATCAGTTGAAAAAGACTCAACTCATCAGATGGATACAAATATAAATACATCTAACAAAAAAAAAGTGGAAGTGGCCGGGTACTTGTATATCCCAACAACAAAAAGACACTGAGTACTGATCTGAGAGTACGCGCAGTTACTGATAGCTAGTTCAAAGCCACTAACAACTAATAAAAAAAATCATGCATCTAAGTTTTGCATTTAGGTAAAGATTGAAACAAATGTGATTAAAAAAAGAATGATTTACTATTATTGGATAGTAACGATTGTCCATGAAAAAAGAGTAATCTTGACCCAATTAATTCTGGTTAAGATACATTAAGTCATAGAAGAATGATATCTTTTAGATCGCACTTCTTCGATAACAATGGACCTTGAAAAAAGTTGGTCGCCTCGACCTATATTATACGCACGATTGGTTAATTCTGATTACAATTTGTGTTAAGGTCCAGATGATAGCAACAACACATAAAAGAGGAATGCTATTTGTTACTGAGCACTTCTTTGATTTTATTGAAGGTCCGCACAAAATCTTTGTAACCATATCAGAAGCATAAAAAAAAAAGACACTCGTTATTATGTCAATATATAATTGTAATATAATTATATTAATGGAGAACTACTAGTTTTGTTTTACTGTGAATTCTTCTCGTTGTTGTTATTGGCGTTCTAATTCTTCTCACATAAAAGCTAGTCTATAGTCTGGGGTTTTCTGTTATTTTTGCTAACAATTTTTTTTCCATATCCCATGTTAGGATCAATGTAAGAGGTTGAAAATTTCATATCTGAATATTTTTCGTTATCTGGAAAGTTACTTTTGACGATGGATCTTGATTGTTTCTGTGGGGCTTTTTTCTCCTGTATATGGATCACTCACGGGGTAAAATTGGAAAATTGTCGAAACTTATTTGACTTTTATTATGTATAGCATAGTCCGAGTTATATACTTAAAAGGATTAAAATTCACAAAATAGTTATTTTGTACTAAAAATTGCTGTGCCATGCCTTTTAAAATAAGATTGAAAATCGTATATGTTTAAGTAAAAATCTATTTCGAATAACATCGCTGACCAACATTAATAAAAAAAAATACAATGAACAGTATACTTCTGACAGATATTTGGTTCTCCTTGAAAAATACTGGGTCATAACATATCTAAATTGCAGTCCCGAGTAATCTGAAGATATTTATTAAGAGTTAAATGATCAGAAATGTGTATAAATATATATGTTTTAATACGACCGCAAAAATTTTTAAAAAAAATGGTCGTATATTGCTATCAAGTTGTCGTCATCGTCGTCAGCGTCAGCGTCATCCGAAGACAGATGGTTTCCGGATAATAACTTTTGTATAAGTAAATAGAAATCAATAAAAATTTTAACACAAGGTTCATAACCACTAAAGAAAGGTTGGGAGTGATTTTGGGGGTTATGGTCTCAACTGTTTAGGAATTATGGGCCAAAAAAAGGGGCCCAAATAAACATTTTTGTAGTTTCCAGACATTAACTTGTGTTTAAGTGTATGGATCTCTCTGAAATTATACTACAAGTTTCCATACCACAACGGGATGGTTAGGATTGGCTTGGGGGGAGGGTTTATGACTCAAACCGTTTAGGAATTAGAGGCAAAAAAGAGGGAAAAACAAGGGTTTCTTGGTTAATGGCCAATTAAGACAATTTGAAACCAGTGTAAGGAAGGTAATCCAAATATATTGAGGTAATCCAAGCATAATGTTTTGCTAGCGGTTAACGGTTCCGGGTTGGACCGCTGCAGTCGTATCCAGCTGCGCTCGGCGAAGCAATTTATTAAATACTTAAATTATATACATATTAAGTTGTGAATATGATGAAACTGATCATCAAAATAAGTTAAAAATGCCCTGGTGTGGAATAAATGTGTGGTAAACTGATCATACTCCTTAATTTCCTTATTTCAATCAGTTTTAAATATTGTATACTGCCTTACTGATAACATAACTTTAATAACTGTTTCAATTTGTTTGCTTGGCATTAATAATTATGGATTCGGTAATTTCCGCTAAAAAAAACCCGAAGTTTACCGAATCTGAACCACCACCATCACTCACATACATCAAACATCATCATCACCATCACTGATCATCACCTTCATCAACAAAAAACGTATAATGTTGTGACCACTGCATATAATGTTGTGAACACTGCATATAATGTCCAGACAACTGCATATAATGTTTGAAACACTGCGTATAATGTTGTGAGCACTTCATATAATGTTGTGAGCACTGTATATAATGTTGTGAGCACTGCATATAATGCTGTGAGCACTGCATATAATGTTGTGAGCACTGCATATAATTTTGTGAGCACTGCATATAATGATGTGAGCACTGCATATAATGGTGTGAGCACTGCATATAATGTTGTGACCACTGCATATAATGCTGATCATCAACATAAGGCAGTTATGGCGTTCCATACGTATGCCCTTAAGACAGCATAAACTTTAACAAGAGGTAAACAATGCATACAAAACAAGGTGAACGATACATTTCGACTTGAGGACAAGATAATTTCAGTTATGCCCTTGAAACTGAAATATTTTAATAATTATTATAAGATAAATGTATTGATTGCAACACACTACTTCAGTTTTATCATCATTAAATAAATAAGCGAAGAACAAAGCAAATATCAATCGTTTATACGTTTTAACAGGGGTTTCATTTTTAATGAATTTCAATATACCATACCTGATGACAGTAGGAAACAAACCACTAGATATCTAAGACAATCACTTCTTTCACAACAAAACAGCTTGGGATAAAGGAAGAATAGAGCTAAGAAAAGAAACACCAGTCCAATAGACTCCATTGCTTGAACTACAACTTGCCATGCTGAAAAATAATGACAAATTATGAAACATCATCAGTAACGTTGTACTAACAATACCCTTCATTCCTATTTGAGCTGTTTTATTCTTTGTCGATCGAAGTTGATGTTTTTATTAGATCTATTTTATCACCTTCCTTGTAACCTTACATCTGTGTTTTAAAACTAGTTCTTGAGAATCAGAAATGAAAAATTCAGAAAAAAGTTTCTCTTACACAAACCTTTATACCTTCACATATTCTACTATTTTCGTTAGTTTTCTAGTTTTTGTTATATAGTGTTAACATACCGTATCTCATATTTCGAGGAAGAGGAGGAGGAAAAGGTGGAGGAGAAGGTAGTAGAGGAGGAGGAGGAAAAGTATAACCCTCAGAATGATGTCAATAAAATGATATACTGATTTATATGTCAATAAAACAGCAAACCAGGAACCTAACAACACAATAAGTTCATGAAGGAAAGAGGTCAACATACGTCTTCAGCAATGGGTTTATACCATATTTCAAGGTCTTCATCATCACCAAAAAGCAATGCAAAAATACAGAGAATGTTGGTGGTGATTGATAACAAGCTAAATGACTCTAATCCGATCGTATGTAAATCATAAAGCTAACAAGTTCTTGATCCCTGAATTAAATTATTTTTACCTTGAATGTTCGGAAGATCAATACAAGATGTTGCAGGATTCGATGTACAATATTGCCATATTCCAAAATATATATCTTCCTTACCGCTTTTATCAAAATACCAGTATGGGGCTGCAAAACCTATTACATCTATCATACAGGCCAGTATTGTTAACACGGTAGCTAGAATTTGTTCGTCCTCTATGCCACACACTCCCATTGTCATATAGTTTTATAATATCTCGTTTGAATCTATCATGAAATTTTATTTCCTAAAACTATGGCCAAGTCGACATTATTGAATTTGATTCCGTACCTATAAAAAATCAAAAGTTTTGATTTCTGGTTGAAAGATCTAAGAACTATGCTTTAAATATTTAATTAATGTTTTAAGATTAACGATAATTATTTCCATTCCTGACTCACGCAATAGTAAATCCGAGTTTGAAGATAACATTTCCGTTTAAGTAAGACCTGAAATATCAAATTATAAAGCTATGCACATTCGGTTCTTAAATTTAAAAAAAAGCAAGCTATAAATGAAATAAATTACGAACCGACAATAGGTATGTTAGGTTATTGTGGCCCTCCTTTCGAGCGACAGTAGAGGGTACAGCGCGCGAGTAAAAAGTGTGTCTATAATTTATATTCCATCATAAACTTTATACCAGTAACATAACTTTTTATATTAATATTTATTTATTTCATTTATTCATTAACGTATTTGATTGTTTATTATTGTTTTTTATTAGGTCTCTACAAAAGGCAACAATCTATACAAAATACAGAGTGGCTAGCACACTGAAAAATATGCTTATGTTAAATCATATTGCATTTGATTTAATGCTGTTTCCTTTAAATTCATAACACCTTGTCAAATTTATTTCATATATAATACACCAATTTTTTTATGTTGGAATCTGCATCGACACACGATTTTATTTCGTTTTAAATTAAAATTTACATAGTTACATAATCGCATTGTTTATGTGCTTGAGTGTTGTAGTGTCTTGAAACTGCCATCTAAAATTATTCTTCAATAAAATTATTGAAAATTCAAGATTCGGTGCAATTGATTGTTTTTGTTTCTTGGGAGTACACTTACTTTCACGAACAATAATGTCCACTGATACTTTACCATTGAAGAATATCGACCTATATTGTTGAACAAGTAAAGTCATAAAACTCAAATTGGTAGGACAATGCCGGACAATCAAACACAAAATATAAAAACAAATATGTCTAGCACAAAAACATATAAAGACATTTGAAAATAACAGAAGACACTGAAAACTATGTTTGGACAATATAAACCTACTATCTTTGAAATTATAAAATGCTGTGTCCTTAATCATGTGTTTGCATGAATATGAAAATATTTAAAGTGTGTCAGTCAAATCTTGCAAATGTAAGATAGGTTATAATAAAAAAAAAATACTTTTAATTCACAACTTCCGTACATCTACCTTCTGCAATAGATATAAATGTATAATGTTGATACTGAATTTATGGCACGTTGTGTCTGTTTTTTTTAGAAAACGCTCGGCATCAAAAGACTGAAAACCCAAATTCATAAACCGTTCTCTAACATGAAACCGAAAAGGCCATTACGGAACAGCTAAAGGCAGTTGCAATCTTAAATGTGTAATAACCATCTTGATGTAAAAACAGAAACATTCAATACATGATTTATCATAAAAACGTCCATACTTTACCTTTCCGTGACCTTTCTATATATGTCTTATTTTACTCCAGTTAAGGTTATATTTATAAATTACGTTTATCTACTCCATGTAGCTTTTTATAAACAAAATTTTACAAGGGATACTTTCCGGTATTTTTTTTAATAGACTTTCCTCTCCTATATCAAACCTAATAATGATAATGATAAGGATATTTATAAAAAAAGAAGAAGTGTCTAAAATTTGAAGATTATTGCAAAATTACCTTTTCAAAAAAGTAAAGCTACGTAGATGTCGTTTATAAACAACTTATATTCATTTTATTTCCGAATGTCCCGTGTTTATAAGTTGTAAAACTATAATTTCAAGGTCTTTCAAGGTCTTTCAAAGTCGCAAGGGTGTATTAGTACCCACAGAATCTGCCCATGATGCCGATGGAAATAACATTATCACGTACGCACACGAAAAAAAATGTTCGAAGGGCAAAGAATAAGACGTTTGAAAGCATTAAACCAAAAAAACCTTGACCTTCATGGCTACTATCTCATTTGTTTAAATGAGCTAGAAATAAATGCAAATTCTGATACTCTTTAAATTGAATCATTTTTTTAAATATTATTTTATACAGTAAATAATTGTAGACCCTGTGATAGAACTTCAGGAATCTTTCTTTAGCTTCTATTATTATTAAAACTAAAGGTACAACAGCCAAGAGTACAACATAAAGATCTGAAGAAATGAGGGTCATAACCAAGAAGGATGAAAGAGTAAACAACCCTAACATATAACTTATTGAACTATGAAAAATCAAAGCTAACTAATAAATGCGTAAACTCATCCAACAATAAAAGAAAAAAAAGAAAGAGAAACTGGACAAAATATTCGACCTGCTGAAAAGTCTTTTTAATGTCATTAATATTTTAGTATCAAGGATAAACGGAGACAGATAGCCGATTAATTAAAGAATTCACCTCTCACACCGGAGCGATAGTATCGAGTAAAAAACAACAAAGAAACAATGATCTAGATCTTACTAAAGATGAAATGAACCGCTTTTATACATTACAAACATGATAATGATGATGATGGATTGTTGTTTATCGTACGATGGTAACAGGACGAAAACATACATTATTGAGTTATGAATCTGAACCTTGTATTTTAACTAGACCGACACGCTGACTCCAATTTAACATGCTAGTATATAAGGTATAATTACACCTTATGTAAGAATCCTGGGTTTTGATTGGTTGATAGCCAGTGTATTTTTCACCAATTTACTTTTATCAAATGCATATCGTTCATTTTTAAACAGCGCCGGAGTATATGCAAAAAGGATATGCCTTTTTTACCCTCTCTGTCGTGGTATTTGCCAAAAAATACTCTATCCGACTGGACGCTTGTAATGTCACGATCATCAATGCGTTTTATGTCACGATCATCAATGCGTTTTGTACGTTAACATTCGGTGTAATTAAACAGATATAGCATGTTCTTGAAGGGTATTTGCGAAAAATACGTCTTGAGAATGAATTTCTCTCGCCTTACGGCTCGCGAAATTTAACATTCTCTCGCCTTACGGCTCGCGAAATTTAACATTCTCTCGACTGGTATTTTTCGCAAATACCCCTCCTTAACATGATATATCTGTTCAAAATTCCAGAGATTTAATAAATTTTACCCTACCTGGACAAATTATTCCGACCGAGCCTACAAGTTTTTAAATTCCATAATATACTTGTCTGCAAAGCTACAAATAACAATTTTCAAGTCTTTGTTTTAATCTGGCCGGGGATCGAGCCAACGACCTCCCGCACTCTCTGCGAACACGCTACCATGAATCCACCGAGGCGGTTACAACACAAACAAGAATATTGTTTGAAAATCTAAATTGAAATAAGATAAAGGCAGATAACATTCACTTTATAGTTCGTAATATATGTCTTATATAAATAAGAAGATGTGGTATGAGTGCCAATGAGTTAACTCTCCATCCAAGTCACAATGTATAAAAAGTAAACAATTATAGGTCAAAGTACGGCCTTCAACACGGAGCCTTGGCTTACACCGAACAGCAAGCTATAAAGGGCCCCAAATTGACTAAATAACTATATTTTTTCTCTTCCCTTTACCAGAGAAAAATGACATGTTTGTCATAGAAGCTGTGTCTTTCTTTCAGACAAAAAGTATGGTCAATTTTTCCTTTTTATAGTCTTCAATCTTTACTAAAATTGCCAGTGTGGCAGCTTTGGTGTTCTCTGAGGTTCTAACAACATTATGGCGTATTTCTGAATCTACAATCAAGTTTGAAATGCCAAGAAAATGACTATAAAATGCAATTGGATACATACATTTTGGCAGATTTTCAGTAAATTTTAAAAAAAAGGAATAAGGGCATGCTTAATAACAAAACCAATTTTTTTTTTTTTGGGAAGTTAAGCTATGATTTATATGAAAAAAAGAAGATGTGGTATGATTGCCAATGAGACAACTCTCCACCAAAGACCAAATGTTGGGCCTATTTTTCATTGTTAACTCGGCAAGTCTTACCTTTTAGAGTCATAGTAATTAAAAAAAAAAGGATCGGTCAGATGATATCCAAGGTTTGCGATCGTTTTCTAGTTACTGTCTAGCCATGATGAACATGCTGAAAATTAAAAAAAAACACACACATAATAAATAATTAATTCAATATTATGTAATCATTCAATCATCGTATATACCGTTACCTAATTATGTGTTTTAACGGAAATTTGAGAGTTCTAGAACATATCTGTGTTACATGCATAAACATTTAGTATTTCATATTGTTAAATATGTTACGTAGGAAACAAATGTTAATTTATACCCAAAATTAAAAAAACGCATTTTTCGTAGCATATCGGATATTAATCATTTCCTAAAACATGTATTTGTTTATAAGTACATACTAAATATATATTATTCATGTAATAAATAAGATATCTGGTGTACATGCTGGATCATGGGGAAAAGTCATTCTAGACATTCCAGCAAATCATATGATATCAGTAAGTACTCGAGTCCTATAGTATATATGTCAGGAGTTGTCTACATTTTAATCGGTCTAATGTAAGAATGTTTACCATGTACGTATGATATGATCCAAGAACGATCAGAAAAATCGAGAACTTGATCATTGTTGAGGGGCACACATCTTAAACTGAATAAACGCATTGTTTTTTTTATATTTATGTTGTTGAAAACATTCTATATAGATATAAGAAGATGTGGTATGAGTGCCAATGAGACAACTCTCCATCCAAGTCAAAATTTATAATAGTAAAACCATTATAGGTCAAAGTACGGTCTTCAACACGGAGCCTTGGCTCACACCGAACAGTAAGCTATAAAGGGCTCCAAAAATTACTAGTATAAAACCATTCAAACGGGAAAACCAACGGTCTAATCTATATAAAAAAACGAGAAACGAGAAACACTTATGAACCACATCAACAAACGACAACTACTGAATATCAGATTCCTGACTAAGGACAGGTGCAAACAAATGCAGCGGGTTTAAACGTTTTAATGGTACCAAACCTTCACCCTTTTTCTGAAACAATAGTGTAACATCACAACATAGAAAGACATGTAACAGTTTACAGGGAAAAGGTTCAGAAACTGAATGGCATGGAGTTTGGAATATACATGTAGTCATAAATACTGCATCCTGCTTTAAGACAATTCAGCATTATCTTATATATTATTTGGCCTCCTTCATCTTCAGCTCTCCATCCATTTTATATTTTTAACTCGTCCATGTTTAGGAGACTGACTCGTTTCGATGAATTTAATCTAATCTATCAATGTCAAATTATTAAAATAAGGAGAAGTGGTATGATTGTCAATAAAACAACTATCCACCAGAGTTCAAATGATAAATTAAAATGTTATCAAATTTTTAAAAGTTCATTTTGCAGGTACTTTTGAAAATTATATTTTACAAACTTAAGAAAATTCTAGAAAAAGGTAACCAGATGCGAATGCATTTCCAACTGTATATGAACGCTGTGTAATCTTTTCCCTTCCAGACCCTTTTGTTTCCGTGTAATAAACAATTAGTGAAAATTAACAAATCCAGGCGGGTATACTAATGTTATTATTATGTCATCTCCTTTTGTCCATTCTAGCGGGAATTTCAAACATAAGAACAATGTCGTTTAGTTAGAAAAATAATAATTTTTACAATGTTTTTTCTCCCTAACACAGATATATCTTTTAACATGATGTCTTCGATTAACAGAACTTTTGTGTAGTATTACTTATAAATAAGTGGAATGAAAATGTACTTCTAAACATCTGCTTGATTTTGTTCTTGAAGTATAAATATCAGCTGTATCTGCTTTTTCTGTAAGAATAAATTCTGTTTTGATTAAACTCGAGGAAAATTGACCAAAGAAATTTTAACGTGTATTTTTGACACAACCAGTTATCCCATCAGTTATTTTGATATCGTAGCATAATGAAATAACTATTCAAATGTCCTCCATACCATCGTGTTGGTTTATTTCTAATATATACATATCTACAAGATGTCCATTTTCGTTTGCTATTCGCGCTTACGTTGATTATGACGTCATGAAGGATATGTGTGGGTATTATTTCTTTTTACTTTACTGGCATGAATAATTTTCATACTCATGTTGTGTAATGTAAGCAATCACCTGTTATCCTTTATTTCTAATAAAATACCTTTTAATCATTGCTGTATTTAATTTAAGACCAAGAACCAAAACCAGAAGATACAGAAACCGGAGGTGTAATTGAAAAAAGCATCAAAGCTATCAGCGATGACCAACAAAGTAGCAAAAAAAATGACTCATGTGCTGACAACCACAGTAACTCAGACCCTGAAAAGGACAGCAACCCAGTTCCTAACAAGAACACAGACACAAATTCAACTTAACATTTGTTTTGTATGTTTGTTTGTTCTCGATTTTGTTTATTATACTTATCGGTACTGATTTTCAACGGTTGATAACTAGTCTGTATAAATGTGTAGCTAGATATAAAACAAAACAATAAAAGACTTTGTTGTCATCGTTACTAAACCTAACAATTTGTTTCTCACATTTAGTTTTAAAACGATGATTTACGTGCTTTTGTGTTTACTTGGCCAAGTGGAATAACCCAATGTGTAATATTGTTCAATCTAACATATGAATTACATAAGCTTTATAAATTCTTCATAGTAAAACTTAACTGATTGAAAGCCACTCTCATGACTACGTTTTCTCATGTTAATGCCATATTTTATCAGATCTAACATCAAGTTTTGATACAAAGTAAGATAAATGGATATAGATGTTAATATCAAATGCATTATTCCACTAGTACATGTTTCGCATTGTTTTGAGGTTTGAATTTGAGGTTGTCATTAATTTGCCACCAGTGGTATGGTTATGTATTTCTTCATTCGATTGAGTGTGTGGTAGCAAGGAAGTAAAATCTACATATTCATTATTAAAAACGGAATTTCTCAATGTTTCATGTACACGATATACCAGAGGCAATGCTTTCTTAACGAGATTAAAAGAACTAAAAGTTAAAGGAACAGTACCTTACCTCTGTGAATTTGCATTACAGTTCACGGATTCAGTTATCAAAATACCGTCTGTGGGAAATGTGTTGATATATGTATGAGCTGATTACACGACATTGTTCATGACACCTGATGTGGAGGACGGTGGAATACATAAGGTTTGGTGGCTGATTGAAAAAGCAATTGCATGTGTTTGCTTTCCTATTGGTGTGCTGTAACTTTGTAATGACGGCTGATTTTACTATGTTGGAACGTTAGACCGCATGCGATTTAGTCCAAAGCTATTTCGTCTGCCGTTTGTATACTTCTACGCAAACAAGATACGTATGCATACATTAAAATAAACCACACCTTTTACAGATGCCTTATGCAGATCTTACACTTTTGGTAAACTTTAGAGTGCCCTTTGCATTTAAATATTCACCGTCATATGCTATTAGTTATTCAGAATCAGAACACAGGCCTCTTTGATGCCAAAACGATGATTTGTTCATGCTCTTAATAATCATTTTCAAAATGTTGACTTCGTTAACAAGTTCATTAAAATTAAGTTGTCGATCATCCGCAAAACGGTGAAAAAGCTGTTCGACCATAACATGTTGTACATCATCATGTTCATAACTATCAATGATGAACATTGCAAATGAAATGATATATTGGACTTCTTACTTCGGGGTCAACTCACTCGTGCATAATATCACTACCCCTAATTAACTTGATACAACATCGGGTTTATCATCAGCATGGTTGCTGCATACAGTTTGGACCTCAACGTACAGGATGGATGGTTGTTTAAGGGCATACGATACAGTTACAGGGGAGGTAATGACGTTGCCAACGTAAAATGTTATTTTTCGCGACGTCAAACTGCGACATATCGGGAAAAGATGCATCATTTTTCGACTTATTTTTATCATTCATACTGATATAACTTGAAAACGAGTTCGTGGACCCCTCTTTCTTAAAATGACATTAGGATTGATTACGTATGAAGATTATTTGTACCAATTTTTATGAAAAAGTCACCGATGAGATTTTTTAAAATTAGATAAGTATACAGCAAAAAATTCCGTTTTTTTCCCTAAAATCCTGAAACTTTGATAAAAATTAATTATTTCCAAAGAATTGTTATACAAATTTAGAGCATACTTATGTAAAAAAGATTTTCCAAATGTTTTTACAAAAATCCTATTGTGTTTATCTTTTGAAACAAAAAAGTTAGGTATGTCTATCCAAAGGATAGAAATGTTCCAAAAAAACGAAATTTTGAGAAAATGTTTAAAATTTCGACCCCATTTATCTCTTAAAGTAGCACATGAAGGTATATTTTTAATTACATTCATATTTGCATTGACTAGGTGAAAAATAGCTTGTATGCAAATTTTTGTAAAAAAATCACCGTGGGATCAAAACTGTAACGTATGCCCTTAAAGCCCTTTTTCATATCGGTCTTCCTGCAGTTCAATGGTTGTTGTTTGTTGATGAATATCATATTTGTTTTTCGTTCATTGTTTTGTACATAAATCAAGCCGTTAGTTTTCTAGTGAATTGTTTTACATTTGTCATTTCGGGGCCTATTATAGCTGACTGAGGTATGGGTTTTACTCATTGTTGAAGGCCGTACGCTGACCTTTAGTTGTAACTTCTATGTCAGTTGGTCTCTGGTGGAGAGTTGTCTCATTGGCAATCATACCACATCTTCTCATTTTTATTTTAACAATACACAATGCATAATTAATCCTCCCTGCTGTCTTAAAATCCTTGACAAAAGTTTTGGTCATCACAAGCCAAAAACCGAAATTGCAAATACTCGTAAATACTGGAAAATTCTGGTACGCAGTGTTTATGACCACACATATACATATGAATAATGAAATTGTTCTACGCCCTTGAGTTATAAACAAAAAAAAAGCACCTGTAATGAAAATAACACGACAAATTATTTACAGTTGACAGTTAAGCAAGAAAAAAAGAATGTAATATAACAAGATTGTTGAAGGCCGTACACTGACCTGTAGTTTTTTTCAACTTCTACGTCATTTGGTCTCTGGTAGAGCGTTGTCTCATTGGCAATCATACCACATCTTCTTATTGTTATATCAACAGTACACCGGCAAGTTCATTAACGTATTTCACTTGAATCAGGTAGTAATAATGGAGTCTTCAATTTAAAAAATATATATAAAACATATGCAAGCAACAAAATACAATAGTTGTTATAACAATTCCACTTGTCGTAGCCACAAGTGTCCGAATATGTATATTTTGCTGGTTGCGGGTTGCGGGTGCTGGCTGCGGGTTGCGGGTTGTGGTTTTCGGGCTGCAATCTGCAAGTCACTTGAATATTAAGAAGGAAAGAAAATAAAAGTTTTTCACCAAAACATTGATATAATTTTCATATACGGTGAAAGGTTCAATTGAAACTTTGAAAAATGTACAAAAATGTTTGGTGTACAAATGAATCAGAAAATAAGTACAAAATATCATGAATATCAAAACAAAGTTTCCGACCAAATGTCACTTCTTTTTTTACAGTGCTGTTACAAGTTTGCAAAGGTTTCAAATTTAAAAGTAGTTAAAATAATAAAATTATATATTTCTTGCTGTTAAAAAAACTTAGGTATATGAATGCCCATGCATGATTTTAACAATTATGAGACGAATTACAGATGATTACCATTAGTAAAATTTAAGCTGGAGAAGTTAACTTGCTATGGATACATACATGTAGAAGAAAATGTTTACAAGCTAGGCCAGTGATTTCGAAAAATCGCACAAAAGCAATGACACTACTTAAAGTGTACGAAACAGAACTTTTCAAGGAAGAAAATACATAATTTTATTAAATTTTCAATGCAATGTAAACTGGTGACACAGAGATATGTCTCGCCTGTATGGAATTTGATTAAAAAATGCAAATGTTGAAATAAAAATAGCCATTCTTTGAAATGCCAAATATGCAAAATATTGAAAGAAAATAAACCATGACTGAGGATAAAGGGTCAACTAATTTCTGTTTTGATTAAGATATGCCAATGCCAATACAACTGCATACCAAAATATAATTGACCTATCATAAGTGGTTCCCCTTTAACAATGTAAAAGTTTCAAAGTCAATAGACCATGACTGAGGGGGCGGGACCAAATAATCTCCATGGAAATGAAATGTGCCAATACTCATTCAATTGTTGACGCCGCCGCCGGTGGAAACATCATACCTAAGTCTCGCTATTTGACTCCGTCAATGCAAGATAGAAAAAAAATGACCATACATCAGCAGAATCTTTTTTGTTTCATTTACAAAGTTAATTTAAAAGTGTCCAAAGTTGCTTTATTATCAATCTTAATTCTAAATCATCTCATGATTGTCATACATTTGGCATATAAAATTAAACTATTTATATGAAACGTTGTGCTAAATATATTGTGTTATCATTTTTTCAAACGCATTGAACAAAAGAAAACAAGATTTAATAGTTCAGCATTCCTTTGCATATATGAAAAGACATTTGAATTACTTTCATCCCTAAAACATTAATAAAATAATTTAATATAAAGTACCAAAACTTATAAAAAAGAAGTCATAGAACATACAACAAGTTAATACAAAGTTTCAGCAGCTTGTTATTCAATTTAGAACTACAGTTATCTGTCAAGACCTATTCTTAATTTGTAATATTAATGCATGTTCATTTGATATATAAACAGGAGCAAATGAAGCGCAACTGTCAAATAAAAAACAACCCATCAAAAAGTAACTAAATAATTAAAACAAACACTTCAAAAGTATAGATAATTGAATGCTAAGAAAAACAACATCTTATTCCATCCCCATTGTAAGTTGTAAACATATTAGAATGAGGGGAAAGTATTTATTTATTTGCATGTCTATTTCAACAAATATGTTTTAATCTAAAAAAAAAAGGGAAACAGTAACGATTTTATAATTGTAATTTTCAAACTATATGTTTATTTAGACAAATACAATATTTGAAATGACTCCATACAAAAATTAAGATATGGGGAAAGAGAGAGTGATTATTATTATTAGTGATACTGCAAGTGTTCTCATTTCCTGAATTGTGACATCATCGAATGCGACTCATTACCGACTTTTTACTTGTATGAGAAGCACGACAGGTGCCATTAATGCAGCAGGAACTGTTTACCCTCACAGGACACACGAGTTCATCCTCCGGTTTTTGGTTGTGTTCATGTTGCTCATTCTTGAGTTTTGTGTTTAGTGTTGTGTTGACTTGTTTGTCTTTCAGTATGTTTTGTATTGCCCCATCGGTATCTTGATTTTGATATGCTATAAGGAGACGTGCGATGGATATTATTATTTACATGAAAAATACAGACCGTTAGTTTAACCCTGTAACTGAAAATAACCATGAAATACCAATTCAACATAATAATTAGATCTTTGAATATACACCTTATCGCTATTTGTCCGCCATTACTGTACATCACAAAGGTTCCCGTAAAATGTTGACGTCACAATAGAAATTATCTGT